GCATTAGACCTGCCTATGGTACAATAACCAAAGGTCTGTGGGGGGTTGGAACGCAGTATGGGCAGGGGCAGGAGGGATCTGGTGAGGCTTATGGGGCGTGGGTGAACTGGTAGGATTGGATGAGTTTAGTAGGAGTCCGGGATCATCAAAGAATGCCTTTGAAAAGGTTTTTCAGGGATTATTGAAAAGTTGCCTTTCAAATGTAGAGGATGCCAGTGGGTCTTATTCTTAGACTTTATTTCTCAAAATCTGTCCCCCAAACCTGTTTTATACTTCTTTATATTTTAAGTTTAAGGGGCATAGTGGTTTAACACTAAGGAAATATGACACTGTTTAGTTTCCAGCTACTCTAGTTCTGACCTGTGTTCAACAAGGAAGGGGGTGGAAAGGAAGTAATATTTGTTATGTATTAAAGAGTCAGGGACAGTACGGTCCATTTTACATTCACTCGTCTAATCTCGACAGCAACTATGTTACTATCTTCACTTTTCAGATTGGGAAAACAATCGCCAGGGAAATTGAGTAATTTGCCCCATGTGACATTGGGCTCTCTCTGCAATGCCTGCTAATAACCATGCTCCTTCAATTTATGGGGTAATTTCTGTTCATTTTTTCCCTGTTTAGACCCCTGCCCAACATTTCTTTCATACCTGTTCCATCTCTGAGCTTTTAGATAACTAAAAATAATTAGGACCTTCTAAGAGCCCAAACAGGGTGGAAAATTAAAAATGTTGCCAATCTATTTTTCCCAAGTCTTTTTCTTGTTCCTGACTGAAGACCTGTTCCTCTCCCTTTTAAAAAATAATTTTACTTTAATCTTCCACACTTACTCATAAAAGTATTGTGAATGCAACAATACGAATAAGTCTTAAACATAATGATGAGCAAAAGGAGTCTGACACAAAAGAGTACATATTGTATGATTTCGTTTATATGAAATACAAAAACCAGGCAAAATTAATCTGGGCTGTTAGAAGTCAGAATAGCGATTACCCTTGGGTAGATGGGGGGAGAAGGGAGCTGAAAGGGAGACCAAAGGGGCTTCTTAGGCTGCTGATAATGTTGTTTATTGATCTGGGTATGGGTTACATGGATGTATTTAGTGAAAATTAATCAGGCTCTACACTTAACTGCACCTTTTAGTATGTATATTATACTTCCCATAAAAAGTTATAAGAAAACTATTGTGAGTGCCTGCCAGGTAGGTACATGGCATTGTACTAAATGCTGTGAAAAGCATGAAAATAAATGAGACAGAAAGTAGATTGGTGATTGCCAGGGCCTGGCAGGAAGGCAGGGATGGGGAGTAACTGCTTAATGGATACAGGGTGATGAAAATGTTTTGAAACTAGATAGAGGTGGTGGTTGCACAACACTGTGAATGTACTAAATGCCACTGAATTGTTTATTTAAAAAATGTTTATTCTGTGAATTTCATATTTTTAATTTTAAAAAAGTGAGTTCACTAAATGTAATGTGGTGTTCTGGATTGGAAACTGTAACAGAGAAAGGAAATTAGTTGAAAAACTGGTGACATATGAACAGTCTTGCATTTAATTAAAAGTTTTTTTCTTAGTTTTGTCAAAAGTACCATGGTTATGTAAGATGTTAACCTGAGGGAAAGTTGGGTGAGGGGTATATGAAAAATCTGCACTCTTTGCAACTTTTCTGTAAATCTAAATTGTTCCAAAAAATTATTAAAAAAAAAAGAAATAGAAAGCCAAAGGCCACTGGAACAGGATCCCAGTTTTCATAAATTAGTAGTAAGATCTTGAGCAAGTCACTTCTCTGAAGAGTCTCAATTTCCCATCAGTAAAAATAGGGGGTTAGGCTGCAAAAGTAGTTTCGAATGGGTTAAGATGCAAACCCTCCTACCCATAATTCAGATCAGTCTCTGGGCATGAAGGTGCATGGTTAAAAAAAGATTAGAAACATTACCTTAGCCTAGTAAGGAACCCTCAAAATCCAGATACCACTACAGGAATGATAGAGATGTGGTTCAGAAAAACTAGTGGATGACCTCAGAGATTCTTCCTGGTTGTCAAAATGTGCAGTTTTAAGTCATAGTCCCCACACTCAGGAAACATCTTTATTATTTTTTTTTTGGTGGCTGGCTGGTTCAGGGATCTGAACCATTGACCTTGGTGTTGTCAGCACTATGTTCTACCAACTGAGCTGATCGTTCTGTCCAAGAGGCTGGCTGGTTCAGGGATCTGAACCATTGACCTTGGTGTTGTCAGCACTATGTTCTACCAATTGAGCTGATCGTTCTGTCCAAGAAAAATATCTTTTTTACATAAAGTTTGGTGAGGAATGGGGCAGGATGAACTAAAGCTATATGGAAGGAGAGTTTGTTTGCTGATTCATACTTGAACAGAGCCCAGCCTTATGTTGG